TTGGGTTTGTGCAAGGATCAAACGTGAGAATATTCTGAGCACGTGGTGGATGTAGGGTGCTACAGAGAGGGAATACTTAGTGTTCCCCACCTTTGCATCAGATGCCATCCTGGGTGTTTCATCTGCATTTTCTCATTGACTCCTCTTTGACATCTAAATCCCCATTTTAGAGAAGAGCAAGTGATGGCCAGAGGGGAGTCAGCTGCCTGACTCCCGGTCCGGCGAGTTCTGGGAATGGAGCATCCCTGCCCTGGACGGCCGCAGCTTGCTCCCTGCGAGGCCTGCCCACGGTGGCGCCGGTCCCCAGGAACGCCCGGCCGGGCTGTGTCTGTACAGCGTGCTGGGGAAGAGGGAGCTCGCCAGGAATTTCCTGGGGCAGCTCGAGGGCAGACTGCTCGGATCTCAGGGTTACGGGGTGGCTGGGTCCTGCCTCCCACCCTTCTCTTCCGCCGCCTGTCCCAGCCCTGTGCATTCTTGGAATCTATAAGTTGTGCCGTGTTCCGTGGGCACCAGGAGTTTCCTTTGAAACCCATGGCACCAACATCTGTTAGCACTTAGGGAACAGGAAGATTGACAAAGAACTGCTGGGGCAGGCGGTGGGGGAAGACGTTAAGCTCAGGAGTATGAAGTCTCAAAGACAAAGAGGAAAAACCCCAACCGAACTGCAGCCCGCTCCCCCAGGCCCTGCTTTGATGTGGTTTCCCGTCCCTGGAGGCCTTATAAGGCGTTGTGCCTGCAGCTCTGGGCTCTGGGCTGGTGCTGGCCACACACTCAGGCCCGGAGGAGCTGCCCTCTCTTCCTGGGGCCCAGTGTGGGGCACACGAGGGGCAGTGCTGGAAATCAGGAGACGCAAGTCAGGGGCCTGTGGCCTGAAAGGCCACCAAGCCTGGCCACTGGGCAGGGAGCAGCCTGACACCGGGCTGGAAGAGGCAGGAGGTCTGGGCATCAGAACTTGGAGCAGAGGCTGAGGCTGACTGTCCTGGAGGCCAGAGGAGAGGGGGCCTGGGACCAGGGGGCCAGAGTGATGGCTGGGTAGTCAAGGGAAGTGAAGGGAAGTCACTGCATGGCCCCACACTTGGGCTTCTTACAGGGCAGTGGGGAAGGGTGTGGGCTCTGCATTGGGCCGCCTGCCTTCAATCCTGGCTCTGACACTTACTAGCTGTGTGACCTTGGGCAAGTCATTAACCTCTCTGTGCCTCGGTTTTCTCATCTGTGAAGTGGGGATAATGTACTACCTTAAGGGATTCCCTTTAGGATTAGATACAAAGCACTAAAAACAGTGCGCCAGGCAGGAGGGCAGCGTTCTCCATGTCTGTGGGGCAGCTTGGGTCTGGTGAGCCCTTTAGATTCTCCCAGCAGTGTTCTGGTAGCCATCTGACAATAGTATAAAAAGTCATAGACACTAACTACTGATCTTTTGAGCCCCAATTGTGGTATCAGGCACAATGGTAAGCACTTTATATTCAGTGGCTTACTTAATCCTCACACCCACCCAGAGATGTCGTGAGTGCTAGCGTCCCTGTGTACAAATGGGGAGACTGAGGCACACTGGCCCAGATGACGCAGCTTGTGCGAGGCAGAGCTGGGATTTGACCCACGGTCGGACCAACTGCATTTCCATGCCCTGTACCTTCCTGCACCTGTGGGGCTCTTGGCTGTTGAGGGGTCTGAGAGCCTTCCTGCAGGATGGTCCTGAGGACCTGGCCCCACACCTTGTGTGCAGGGCTCCTGGCCAGGGCTCGGCCAGGTCCCAAACCTATGGCAAGGAGCTGTGGGCCTTTGAGTCCCGGGGACAGATGGCAGGACTTGGCCGCTGACCCCCTGGACCTGCTGGCCATGCTGTTTCCCTTGCACCTCCCTAAGTGTGATCCTTGGTCCCTGGCAAGTGCCAGCACGCTTGGCCTCCTCTGTCCCCATGCCCACAGGAACCCTGATTCTACAGACAAACTCAGGCTGGGCATTGAAGGAGCTGGCTTGAACCTCGGCTCTGCCCTCACTTGCTGATGATCAGAGCCGCACGCCTGGCCTCTTGGAGCCTCCTCCTCCTTTAAACACAGGACTAGTGGGAGCGCCGTCCTCCGGGGCTCTTGCGAGGACTCCATCAGTCAGCGCCTTGTACCCCGTGGGTGCTGGGGAAGGATGTGAGGCTGTCATCGGCCTTATTTTCCTGTCTCACATGGTCCTTGAGGGTTGGGGGCACTTTCTTTGTAGGAAAAAAGGAGAACAATTATACCCCTCACTTTACAATTTGCAAATCATTTTTATGAACATTTATTCCTTGAGAGATGGAAGGAACAGGGCTGGTGTGATGATTAAGGAAGATTATATATACATATATATAGATAAAGTGCCTAGCAGGGTGCCTGGCACATAGGGATGCACAGTAAGTGTCAGTTGTCTTATTGTTGTGGTGGTGGGTTATCACTGTGCCCATTTTACAGATAAGTAGACTGAGGTTCCAAGAAGGCAGTGGCTGGCCCCAGGGCCAAGGGCGAGGGAGGCAATGGAGCCAGCTGTGATCCCGTGACTGGCTTAGCGTTCTGCGTTGCCTCTGACCTAGTGATTCAAAGCTGGAGGACCACAGACGCTGCGCTCCACAGGCCGTGGGCTGTCCAGCTGAGTGGATGAAATGGATTTTTGCCGTAGTTGAGCACTGGCACTGCACAGGGTGTCAGCGGAGCATGGTGCTGAAGAGCTTTCGAAGTGTCATATAGAGCAGGGTCTGGTTTAGTGGGAAGAAGCCGACCCCAGAACCTGCCAGAACTCTTCTTTAATATGCAGAGACATTCCTTTAATATGTCAGAGAGCTAGGTCCTCCAGCAGACAGCTCCTCTCAGAGAGCGCTGAAGCCGTCAGCAGAGCGATGAATGGGTGCGTTAGATACACTGCGAGGCACCGTTGCAGGGGTCCCAGACGGCTGCTTTGTTGGCGCTGACGTTTGGAGTCTTGAAACTCCTCCGGTGTGCTAGTAAGAAGACGCGAGGGCTCAAAAGCATCCGTCCCGCAGATGCTGTCAGCCTTGCCGGGAGGGGTCAGTGTGGCGGGCCGGGGTCAGCGCTGAGTCCGCTCTCCAGAAGCCCTCAGTGTGACGAGGTGTGTGGTTCTCTTGAAGACGGCCGCCTGCTCCTGTGAGGAGGTGCTGCCTGCCAGCCTTTCGAGAGAGGCAGCGTCCGTCTTCCTCTGGCATGAAAGATCGGCTTTAATTGGCTGCTGGGGCGTCCCAGCCATCTAATGATGCCACCTGAGTGCATCCCTTTCCTGTCACCGTCTCCCAGTTCCCCTGTCATCTTCAGCTCCTTTAACGCAAGCAGCCAGTTTACAAGCCCCGGAAATGTTTGGTGATTATAATAATTGGCAGAGGAGGAGAAAGAAGCCATCCTGAGTGAGGAATAAAGTTCTGAAGTCAGCGGGGCACCAGGAGTCTGAGTGCACCACCACATTGTGACAACCTTTAAGAAAGAATGTGTAATGCCCCAGAATGATTTGAGAGAAGAAAGTGAACAGAGCAGACCAACCCTAATCCATAAAATGTTAGCTGTTTATCTTTAAAGAACAACACGAGACTTACCCCCAGCTGTGTCTAATTGATAAGATACAGCTATACAAAGCGTTGTCCTTCTCTTGTTAATCAAGGAGAGCAATGGTTTTTCTTTTAAGCATCTAAGATGCAGTTTTTTTTTTTTTTTTCTAATTTTTCAAGGAGAGGGTGTTTTTTCTTTTTCTCTTTGCTTTTTTTCAAAAAGAGAAGTTGGTGACAGCTGCTGAGTCTGGGCTTCTTGATGGCTTGTCATTTTGTGGTTCGAGAAGCGCTGGCACAGCATCGTTGTGGACATCAATAGAGATAACGCAGTGCAACCCCACAAACCTCGTCTTTCCCCGAAAGGAGGAGCATTTCCCCAAGTAGGTTCCTTGGAACATGAATCGCATGTGATGCTTTTGAAAAACAAAACTCCGTGGTCTAAACGGGTGTGAGGAATGTAACATAAGCTATACTTGGATATTCACAGTGTCCGTTATCATAGGAAGTCCTGCAGTAAGGGATCTTGTACTTTGTTTAAAACAATCTTTTTTTGATCACAGAACTCTTCTTGGCAGAACACCAATACATACAGGAGACAGTTTGACAAGTGCTGGTCTAGCCGCTTCCATATCTAGAGTCCTCCTGCTGGGGTGGGGTCAGATAGATGGAACCTTTGTTGACATCCCAAGAATTTCCCAGCCTGGGGTCCAACCAAACTCACCTTGCCAACCTGACGACACCTGAGTGGCAGCCCGACTAGGCTGGTTGGGGGCAGCTCTGCCATATGGGATGAGCTTCCAGACGTGTTTAACTCACGTGTGGGGACCAGGCAAGGCATGTGCAAGGATCAGGCTAGTTTCCGGAAGGTGTGTGTGCTGGGGAGACGCAGGAGGCATGGCTGAAGATCAGCTGGAGCCAGAGCACGCACACTTCTGGTTGTTATACTGAAGACTTGGGTTTATGTTAAGGGCGGGAGGGACCCACCCTAGTACAGACTAGGCCCTCTTGATAAACCCACAGGGTCAGCCTGCCTTCTGACTGCTGGGGACCTTCTGTTGGAGGAAGGATCCCAACTGAGATCTCTTCTTGGGGCCCACAGGGGAGGCTTGTTGGTCCTGAGTCCATCAAGTTGGCTCGAAAGGATAGATGAGGGACATTTTCTGATCTTGTCTCTGTCTTTTTCCAGGGTGGAGGGTGGACTTTCCTTTCTGTGGGAGAAGTACGGTCCTGTGTAGTGTTTCGTGATGGGCTGTAGGCTGAGAAAAAGTTACTTCCTAAAAAGCACCGTGAGAATTCACTTTTCAAGTGTGATAGGATCCATCTCAGTTGACCTAAATTCCCATCGGAAGAAGCAGAACAGGGTTCCTGCTTCCTTGCCACCAGCCAGGCACATGTTCAAGATGCCACCTTTACCAACCCAACATTGGGTTCCTACCTGACCCCGATACTTCCTTAATGTCCCTGCTTTGTCTTCCTCTAGGAGCTCGTGGGCGAAGTTTTCAGAGAAACACTCAGCGAGGAGGAAGAGGAAGGCTTTCGGCTAGAAGGTACCAGAATCCCTTGCTCTTCCCCCAGGGAGTAATGAGGTAGGGAAGGGGCCATCTGGTCTACCGTGTGCCCATGTACCTTCTAGAAAGTCTGTAGACCAGGCAGAGGACAGGACTCTGACTCTCGTGGCGGGTGGGCTGAGGGGTGGGTGGGGGTAAGGAGCAGGAGGGATGTGTGGTGCTCCATGGGGCCGAGCCCAGGGTGGAGCCAGACTGCCGAGGGTCGCTGCCTGGCCCTGCTCTGTGTTAGCTGTGGAACCTTGGGCAGGTGGTTTTACCTCAGTTGCCCGTTGAGGGGTGAGGTAGTAGCTATTCATGGGCTCCTCAAGCTGTGTTAGGCACATAGTCAACACTACATAAAGGAGCTGTTACATGTCCTCATTTCTCCATTCCTGTCACTCACCTGGAGCACAATCGTGTACACCCCCACACACAAACACGCGCCGCTGGCCCCTCCCCTTCTCCTCTGTAGCTCTCAGTCCTTCCTCCCTCACGGGGAAGCACTGTGTTGTAGAAAGATTTAGGACACTAGAGTAGAGTGCCAGCGGGCCACTGGAGTGCTAACTCTACCGGGGCAAGCCACGTCACCTTTCGGAGCCTTTGTTTCCATGTTTGCAGGGTGGGCAGGAGGCCTTTTCCCTGCCTGACTCCCTGAGCTGGTTCAAGGAACGAAGGGCATCTGAAAGCGCTTGCTAAGTGGGATAGCGTTTCCATTTTATACTCAAAGAAGAGGATCGCTGAACCGTGGCAGCCTTAGGATAGCGAGGACCTCTCTGCTGAGGTGAGGCCGGCAGCTGGCAGGAAAGCTGGGGGGCCAAGGGTCTCTCGGGGGGATCTAGGCCTTGGGGGTCCTGTGGGGCCCTGAGAGGAGAGCAGACAGTGTCAGGGGATCCTCAAGGGGAGCCTGGGCCGGACTTGAGGACTGTGGCCGCATCCGGCCTGAAGGCTGCTGTAAATGAAGACTTTCGGGCTCCACCCCAGGCTTGCTGAATCCAGTCTGCTTTTAGTCTGCTGCCCAGGTGACTTGTATGCACATTACACTTTGAGAAGCCTCTGTTAAGAGATTCACTCAGTTGCTCAGGAGTTGGAGGCAGGCTGGGGACCCAGGTATCTATGAAACTTTGCTCAAATACGAACAGGTCCTGAATCAAGGGGGAGGAGCCCCATGGACGGAAGGCTTTCCCAGACTGTGGGGTGTTTCCCTGGAGCGTGTTTGTCTGCAGATCTGGTGGCTGCACTCAGGGGCTTAGTAGCTTTGATTCTCATCATTTCCTGGGCCCTCCCAAGCCTCAGCTGTCATCCTTGCCTCTGTGGAGAGATGCCAGCACTGTGCCTAGAGAAGATCTGGGGAGTCAGGTAAAAGTTGCAGGCCCTGGGGATTGAGGTGACCCCAGATATGGATTATGTGGGCTTTAGCACTCGTTCCATTTATCTATTCATTTGCTCATTCACATGGTAACTTTTTAGCAAGTTCATTCTCTGGTTCATCCATCCCTCCATCTATTCCATCCATCACCCACTCACTATCCACCCAGCCACCCGCCTGTGTGCTCATCTATCCATTCATCTACCCGTCACTTACTCATCATCTTCCCATCACCCACCCACCCACTGATCCATGACCCATCACCCAACACTCATCCATTCATGTGTTGCTCCACCGATCACCTTCATCATCTTCCTTCCATATATCGCCTATTTATTCATCTCCCTACTCTGCTGTCACCCATCTATCAGCCAGCCAGCCCTTACCTATCACCTGACCACCCACCTACAGCCAATCATCCTCTGCCCATCTATTCATCATCGGTCACTCATCGCTTAATCCATTTAACCGTCCTCCAATTATCATCTGTCTAACTCTCCATCTGTCTTTCTATCCATCATTTATTTATTTATTTATTTTTAATTTTTTTTAATTTTTTTTTTTTTGTGAGGAAGATTGGCCCTGAGCTAACATCTGCCAATCCTCCTCTTTTTTTTTGCTGAGGAATACTGGCCCTGGGCTAACATCCATGCCCATCTTCCTCCACTTCATATGGGATGCCACCACAGCATGGCCTGACAAGCGGTGCGTCAGTGCACGCCCAGGATCCAAGCAGGCGAACCCCGGGCCGCCGCAGCGGAGCGCGCACACTTAACCGCTTGCGCCACCGGGCCGGCCCCCTATCCATCATTTATTGAGTCCCTGGTTACTGCCAAAAATGAGACACTTCTCTGTCCATTGATGCTCAATCTGAAATCTTGTAATTGATTTCAAATGAGATGTCTTTCCCTGCAAACATACATGAAATGACCTGCCCAGGGAATCCACCTCCCTCTGATAGGGAGGGTCGCTTTGTTCAATGTCTGCGTTCAGAGCATAAGCCCTGTTGTAATGAGGTAGAAGGAACGCTGGCCAGGAGCCCCTCCCAGCTCCAGCAGTGACTTGCTGTGGCTCTGGCCAGGGTGCTCCCTCTCTGGGCCCCCTCGCCCTCTGTAACGTGATGTGTGGGGACGTGGAGCTGGACTTGGTGGGTGCTCAGATGATGTGGGCATCTTGTAGAGAGGATGAACCGCTGTGGGCGGCACTTACAAACACTGGTTGACGGGTGGGGGATAAATATGAGATGCCCGAGGGTCCCAGCTCCTGTTGGGGACAGGATGTGAGGTCGGTGGCACTCGTTCTGACCCCCTGGGCCACCGTGTCAGGCTTTGAGGGCAGTCTGGGTGCCTTGCCAGTCACGGATGGTGTCCAGGCACATCGGTGCCACCACTGACGAGGGAGGGGTTGGGAGCCACTAGCCTGCCTCAGTGTCCTGACTGGAGGTTGGACTAGGTTGTTGGTGGTCAAGCTTTTCAGCCTCTTTCTTCAAACAAAAGCTTACACAGAGGCACAGAATGTAAACCAGTTAGATCAGGTTGCAGAAAGATACAGCACGTTATAGACAGTAGGTTATCTTGTGTGTAAAAAAGTACACTGAACGCTACTTAGATCATTGCCTATCTGGAGGCCTCGACAGACAAAAACAGTAGGTCCTCTGGACATAGGAGGAGGGGACTCAAATTGGGCAGAGAGATCAAAGAGGACTGTAGTATTAACTGTAATCAATGTTTTAACTTTTATAAGAAGAATGTAATCTTATATTCCTTTGAGATGAAGGACTAATAACAGAATTGAAAAGTGAGAACAATAAGTAAAGAAAGCAGTGAGAGTGGGGTTGCTCTGAGTTACATCTGGGCCTGCGAGGCCCTGAGACCCCTGGAGGGATGCTGGACCCAGTGGCCTGTCTGTGGTTCTCTGGCCACCCTTGGCGTCAAGGTCCGAGGTCGCCCACCTCCGGACGGGTGACGTGGCCGTGGACGCAGGCCACCACACGGCCAGGCCCGGTGAGGGCGAGTGCTGCCGAGTCCTGGCCGGAGACGCGTCCACCTGGCCTGGAGCTGGGGCTGCGGGCGTCCCTCCGTGCTACCGGCCAACGAGAGCTAGCTGAAGCCTGAATCTCTCCTTTGTCTTCCTCTTGGCCAAGTTTATCGCCTCTTGGCGGGCTGGAGGGCTGTTTAAGGGGGAAAAAGGGCCATCTGAGGCGTGAAGATAAAAAGAAGTCTTTTGGCCATCCCAAGAGAGGATGGCTTTAGCTCCTGCGTTGTTATGTAAAGCCGGCCCTAATCCTTAACTGGCCAGCTGGGAGCTCGCGGGATGGGGGATTAAGGCTGGGCTTGGAGCAGGGCTGGGGCTGGAGCTCCTTTTGAACTGGGGAGAGAACAAAGTAAACATCAAAAGTTCCACGCTCTGGGAGCTGGCTGGGCATGGTGGGGGTGGGACACACGGCTGTAGTGGGGAGAAGTGGGGAGGGACCCTCTGCTGACCCAGCAGGGGTCTGAGGACAGGGGAGGCTCGGCCCCATGCTTCCCTCCAGCACCCACCTGACCTCCCCATCTCCCCAGTTGAGCAGGACGACAGGTGGTGGCAGCCCGTGGCTTGTGGTCCAAGGTGAAAACTGGTGCCAGGCCTGTTTGGCAGACTCATGTCACCAAGTGGCCTCCGGGAAGCGCTGTGTCTGGCGGTATCCCCCCACCGGCACAGGCTGCAGCTTCTGCTCTGTGTCCATCGGAAGAGAGAGACCTAGAAATGGTCACAGGCCCCTTCTCTCCGGGTCCCGTCTCTCCCTCCCACCTAGTGCTGTCCCTGCCCCCGCCCGGCCTCTTGGCTCACTCCTGCCTTTCACCCTCTGGCCTCTGCCCCCTGACCCTCCACAGCGTGTCTGTTTCTTGTCTTCCGACCTCTTTGCTTGGGGGTGAAAGCAGGCAGGGTGCAGCCTGCTTGGCATCTCCTGCAGAAGGCTGACTGCACAGAACCCAGTCCAGCCTGCAGTCCTGCCCCTCCTAAAGGAGCCCACAAGGCCACTGAAGTCAGGCAGCCCCTCCTGGGACCAGGCCCTCCCTCCAGGCTTCTGGGGCTGCCGCCAGGCAGGCCTCGCTCTGGTCCTGCCCAGGTTGGCCTGGCAGGGCCTGTGGAGCCCGAGGGTGCATGTCCCTGGAGTAGCTGGTCCTGCCAAGCAGGGCAATGGTGTCGGGACCGAGACCTGGGGGGCCGAGCAGCCCCACTGTGAGCTCAGGGCCTGTCTTAATATACATGGGCCCGGAACTCTGTCTTCCCCCGACCCCATCAGAGTCCACAAGAGTCACCCTCCTCCCTTTATTCTCACTTTCTGGGAATTTGCAAGTCAGACCCTACATCCAGCCTGGCTTTACCACAACTCCCTGTGTGACCTTGGGTGAGTCACTTAACTTCTCTGTGCTTCAGTTTCATAGCACTTCTTCCTCAGTGTTCCTGTGAAGATGGTGAGGTCATTTATGAAAGCCTAGAGCACAGCCCAGAGTAGTGCCCAATGTATGTGAGCTGTCGTGATTCGTGTTTCATGGGTCTATCTTTCTTGAAGAGGGGCCAACTGGTATTTGTAATTGTTTACTAGTCCAGATCAAAGGCCCATTGTCAAAGCTTCTTTAATCCTCTTAGA